TCATGGGACACAGGGAGAGATATTTGGACTCATGGGATACAGGGAGAGATATTTGGACTCATGGGATACAGGGAGAGATATTTGGACTCATGGGATACAGGGAGAGATATTTGGACTCATGGGATACAGGGAGAGATATTTGGACTCATGGGATACAGGGAGAGATATTTGGACTCATGGGATACAGGGAGAGATATTTGGACTCATGGGATACAGGTAGAGATATTTGTTCTTATGGGATACAGGGAGAGATATTTGGGCTCATGGGATACAGGGAGAGATATTTGGGCTCATGGGATACAGGGAGAGATATTTGGACTCATGGGATACAGGGAGAGATATTTGGATTCATGGGATACAGGGAGAGATATTTGGCTCATGGGATACAGGGAGAGATATTTGGACTCATGGATACAGGGAGAGTATTTGGGCTCATGGGATACAGGGAGAGATATTTGGGATCTTGGGATACAGGGAGAGATATTTGGATCTGGGATACAGGGAGAGATATTTGGACTCATGGGATACAGGGAGAGATATTTGGACTCATGGGATACAGGAGAGATATTTGGACTCATGGGATACAGGGAGAGATATTTGGACTCATGGGATACAGGGAGAGATATTTGGACTCATGGGATACAGGGAGAGATATTTGGACTCATGGGATACAGGGAGAGATATTTGGACTCATGGGATACAGGGAGAGATATTTGGACTCATGGGATACAGGGAGAGATATTTGGACTCATGGGATACAGGGAGAGATATTTGGGACTCATGGATACAGGGAGAGATATTTGGACTATGGGATACAGGGAGAGATATTTGGGACTCATGGGATACAGGGAGAGATATTTGGACTCATGGGATACAGGGAGAGATATTTGGACTCATGGGATACAGGGAGAGATATTTGGACTCATGGGATACAGGGAGAGATATTTGGACTCATGGGATACAGGGAGAGATATTTGGACTCATGGGATACAGGGAGAGATATTTGGACATGGGATACAGGGAGAGATATTTGGACTCTGGGATACAGGGAGAGATATTTGGACTCATGGGATACAGGGAGAGATATTTGGACTCATGGGATACAGGGAGAGATATTTGGACTCATGGGATACAGGGAGAGATATTTGGACTCATGGGATACAGGGAGAGATATTTGGACTCATGGGATACAGGGAGAGATATTTGGACTCATGGGATACAGGGAGAGATATTTGGACTCATGGGATACAGGGAGAGATATTTGGACTCATGGGATACAGGGAGAGATATTTGGACTCATGGGATACAGGGAGAGATATTTGGGCTTATGGGATACAGGGAGAGATATTTGGGCTCATGGGATACAGGGAGAGATATTTGGGCTCATGGGATACAGGGAGAGATATTTGGACTCATGGGATACAGGGAGAGATATTTGGACTCATTGGATACAGGGAGAGATATTTGGACTCATGGGATACAGGGAGAGATATTTGGACTCATGGAATACAGGGAGAGATATTTGGGTTCATGGGATACAGGGAGAGATATTTGGACTCGTGGGTCATGAGGATATTGGACTCATGGGATACAGGGAGAGATATTTGGCTCATGGGATACAGGGAGAGATATTTGGACTCATGGGATACAGGGAGAGATATTTGGGACTCATGGGATACAGGAGAGATATTTGGACTCATGGGATACAGGGAGAGATATTTGGACTCATGGGATACAGGGAGAGATATTTGGACTCATGGGATACAGGGAGAGATATTTGGGATCATGGGATACAGGGAGAGATATTTGGACTCATGGGATACAGGGAGAGATATTTGGGTCATGGGATACAGGGAGAGATATTTGGGTCATGGGATACAGGAGAGATATTTGGGCTCATGGGATACAGGGAGAGATATTTGGACTCATGGGATACAGGGAGAGATATTTGGGCTCATGGGATACAGGGAGAGATATTTGGGCTCATGGGATACAGGGAGAGATATTTGGGTTCATGGGATACAGGGAGAGATATTTGGACTCATGGGATACAGGGAGAGATATTTGGGATCATGGGATACAGGGAGAGATATTTGGACTCATGGATACAGGGAGAGATATTTGGGTTCATGGGATACAGGGAGAGATATTTGGACTCATGGGATACAGGGAGAGATATTTGGACTCATGGGATACAGGGAGAGATATTTGGGCTCATGGGATACAGGGAGAGATATTTGGGACTCATGGGATACAGGGAGAGATATTTGGGTCATGGGATACAGGGAGAGATATTTGGGCTCATGGGATACAGGGAGAGATATTTGGATCATGGGATACAGGGAGAGATATTTGGGTCATGGGATACAGGGAGAGATATTTGGGTTCATGGGATACAGGGAGAGATATTTGGTTCATGGGATACAGGGAGAGATATTTGGACTCATGGGATACAGGGAGAGATATTTGGGCTCATGGGATACAGGGAGAGATATTTGGGCTCATGGGATACAGGGAGAGATATTTGGGTTCATGGGATACAGGGAGAGATATTTGGGTTCATGGGATACAGGGAGAGATATTTGGACTCATGGATACAGGGAGAGATATTTGGGTTTCATGGGATACAGGGAGAGATATTTGGGTCATGGATACAGGGAGAGATATTTGGGTTCATGGGATACAGGGAGAGATATTTGGACTCATGGGATACAGGGAGAGATATTTGGACTCATGGGATACAGGGAGAGATATTTGGGCTCATGGGATACAGGGAGAGATATTTGGTCATGGGATACAGGGAGAGATATTTGGGCTCATGGGATACAGGGAGAGATATTTGGGCTCATGGGATACAGGGAGAGATATTTGGGTTCATGGGATACAGGGAGAGATATTTGGACTCATGGGATACAGGGAGAGATATTTGGGTTCATGGGATACAGGGAGAGATATTTGGACTCATGGGATACAGGGAGAGATATTTGGGTTCATGGGATACAGGGAGAGATATTTGGCTCATGGGATACAGGGAGAGATATTTGGGTCATGGGATACAGGGAGAGATATTTGGACTCATGGGATACAGGGAGAGATATTTGGGCTCATGGGATACAGGGAGAGATATTTGGACTCATGGGATACAGGGAGAGATATTTGGGTTCATGGGATACAGGGAGAGATATTTGGACTCATGGGATACAGGGAGAGATATTTGGGTTCATGGGATACAGGGAGAGATATTTGGACTCATGGGATACAGGGAGAGATATTTGGGCTCATGGGATACAGGGAGAGATATTTGGGCTCATGGGATACAGGGAGAGAATTGGGTCATGGGTACAGGGAGAGATATTTGGACTCATGGGATACAGGGAGAGATATTTGGACTCATGGGATACAGGGATACCATTCCCAGATCTTTAAGGAAGTGGAGGTTTGGCTTACAGATATGTCTTTCTTTCTCTTATGGAAATACCATTCTTCTATAAATAAAGATGATTTGGATAATGGAATAAGGAAATACTTTCCAGTGACCCAGCAGCAAGTGAAACATACATGTATCTGGTTTTAAAAGAAAATGTTAAATCCAAAAGGGTCATCCAGTGGTGCCACATTAATATAGTAAACACGAGAGACTCTGGGTTTAGGAATGATTTGAATTTGAAGAACTAAAAATTTGATAGATTGATGCTGGGAGAAGTATATTGAACTAGTAGAAGTTAAACTTTCAACTTGACAGGAAATTAAGTGAGCATAATAGGGATAAATTATTATTTAAAGCCTATAGACTACGCAAAGTGTTAATTAGGCTTATATAACTTGTTTAATATCATTCACGCAACGCTATCAGATATAGGCCTATGGGGATCAAACACTTAAAGTGAATATTTTAAAGTGCTTCCTTGCACATGTACAAGCACTGCAGCTCTCAGTGAACTATGATATAATCATCAGCATATATACAGAGTTACTTGAATAATAATTGGGCTTAAAGCCTAACGCACATTCACAACCAATCCAGAAAATCCTTTTCTCTAAAAGAGGGATTAAAGCAAAATGTCAGAGAATAAAAACTGAAAGAAATTCGTCTCTCGGTGCATATATCTGTCGGTGAATTGGTTAGTTAACAGAGTTTAATTACAACTTATCGGCTATTCAGAGACGTCATTAATACCGCATATGAAGTATTCACCACTAGTCAATACCCACCAAAAGACTTACATCTTTCTATATACATATTGTCTTTGTTTGAACCGGTTGGTAAATGGGCTTTAAGCCTACCGACGCGTCAAAGGTACATTAATTAAGGCTGTTTGTCATCTGATCATCACCATAAAAGAAAACTTTGATCACTGGTATATTCAGTAAAATAAACTTAGGATATATAGACTTAGTAGTTCACCTCTGGAGGCATATATTGTGTGCTTCAGTTTGTGTTTGATGGGGATTTATGCCTATCGACCACACGAGTCATGCCTATCGACCACACGAGTCATTTATGCCTATCGACCACACGAGTCATGCCTATCGACCACACGAGAGTCATTTATGCCTATCGACCACACGAGTCATTTATGCCTGTCGACCACACGAGAGTCATTTATGCCTATCGACCACACGAGAGTCATTTATGCCTATCGACCACACGAGAGTCATTTATGCCTATCGACCACACGAGAGTCATTTAGGTTGTACATAACCTGTTTACCACCAGTCATAAATATTTTAATCTCTTTTAAAGCCTAACGAAGCCTATAAGTATAAATACAACAAGAGACATAAATCCTCGTAGAAAAACTTGTGTCTGCACACTCAATTACATAAATTGAGCTTTTATATAATTTTACATTGAAATATTTCAAATTTATATTTATTAAGTCAGAAATTTGCAAATTTAAGGAATTGAAAAGTCATTATATTGTGGAAATAATCATTCAAGTTAATTCAATCTACATGTGAAATTTTTGTATTTAAAAATAGTAACATTTGTATTTCAGTTGGCGCAAGAGTATAGAGAGCGGTATGCTGAGACCCATGGATCAGGTGACTCACAGAACAACGGTAGAGAGAGACATGAAGGACACAGAACACGGTAGGAGCGTTGCTGAGACCCATGGATCAGGTGACTCACAGAACAACGGTAGAGAGCGGTATGCTGAGACCCATGGATCAGGTGACTCACAGAACAACGGTAGAGAGCGGTATGCTGAGACCCATGGATCAGGTGACTCACAGAACAACGGTAGAGAGCGGTATGCTGAGACCCATGGATCAGGTGACTCACAGAACAACGGTAGAGAGCGGTATGCTGAGACCCATGGATCAGGTGACTCACAGAACAACGGTAGAGAGCGGTATGCTGAGACCCATGGATCAGGTGACTCACAGAACAACGGTAGAGAGCGGTATGCTGAGACCCATGGATCAGGTGACTCGCAGAACAACGGTAGAGAGCGGTATGCTGAGACCCATGGATCAGGTGACTCACAGAACAACGGTAGAGAGCGGTATGCTGAGACCCATGGATCAGGTGACTCGACAGAACAACGGTAGAGAGCGGTATGCTGAGACCCATGGATCAGGTGACTCACAGAACAACGGTAGAGAGCGGTATGCTGAGACCCATGGATCAGGTGACTCACAGAACAACGGTAGAGAGCGGTATGCTGAGACCCATGGATCAGGTGACTCACAGAACAACGGTAGAGAGCAGTATGCTGAGACCCATGGATCAGGTGACTCACAGAACAACGGTAGAGAGCAGTATGCTGAGACCCATGGATCAGGTGACTCACAGAACAACGGTAGAGAGCAGTATGCTGAGACCCATGGATCAGGTGACTCACTGAACAACGGTAGAGAGCGGTATGCTGAGACCCATGGATCAGGTGACTCACAGAACAACGGTAGAGAGCAGTATGCTGAGACCCATGGATCAGGTGACTCACAGAACAACGGTCAACACCAGGTTAAATATGTGAACACCGAGGTGAAGATTTCTGCAGATGGTGAAGGTGTTACCCAAGATACTCTTAACATACCCGCTGATCCAGTTGTGCATCAATTACAGAATGTAAACTTGGCCGCTTCTGGGCAAGTAGACCAGATCATACCCACAGTGGAAGCAAGATATATAGATGTATAGCATGTATACCAGATCATACTCACAGTGGAAGCAAGATATATAGATGTATAGCATGTATACCAGATCATACCCACAGTGGAAGCAAGATATATCGATACATAGCATATAGACTAGATCATACCCAATAATTGGTAGAAAAATGTTTTACCAGGAAAGTATATAAGAACAATGGAGGTACAATTATTACCAGATTTTAGTCACTTTAATGCCTATAAATCTGAAAGACAGTTGCCTTAAAAAGCAAATTGATATAATCATTCAAGTAATGTTTTGTAAAGCATTGGCAATTTATGTAAATTTTATAATATATTAGATTTTTTAAAATTTTTAGTCAATTGAGTGAAGGATTGAGACTGGTCGAGCGATTGTTTTAATGATTGTTTTAATGATTGTTTTAATGATTGTTTTAATGATTGTTTTAATGATTGTTTTAATGATTGTTTTAATGATTGTTTTAATGATTATTTTAATGATTGTTTTAATGATTGTTTTAATGATTGTTTTAATGATTGTTTTAATGATTGTTATAATGATTATTTTAATGATTGCTTTTAATGATTGTTTTAATGATTGTTTTAATGATTGTTTTAATGATTGTTTTAATGATTGTTTTTATGATTGTTTTAATGATTGTTTTAATGATTGTTTTAATGATTGTTATAATGATTATTTTAATGATTGCTTTAATGATTGTTTTAATGATTGTTTTAATGATCGTTTTAATGATCGTTTTAATGATTGTTTTAATTACTGCTGTAATGTGACAACTTCATGCCATCTACTCGTCTATGGATAGATATTCACGAAAGGAAACCATTCAGTGACAGTCGGAATTATGTTCTCCTTCAGACCATCAAGAAAGCATCGTGTGATCGTCATCGGTATTTTTCCAATAAGATATCATGACTATGCCTCTCTTAACATGACTTATGAACTCGTAATGACACGAATGCAAACAAATCATACCACGGGTGGGGTTAGAACACGCGATCAGAGAATCATAAAACGCCAGACCGATGCGTTAGCTACTGGGCCAGCTAACGTGTCGGTCTGGAGTTTTATGGGGTTCTAACCCTACCCGTGGTATAGTTTGTTTATGCGTATCTTGTACGACTATAATAGGTAATGGCTAATGTGTCTTACGGAAGGCTGCTACTGTGTGTAAATTTGTTAATACATTAACGTAGGATGAATCAATGGTTTCTGTTTGATACCTGGAGAATGCATCTTCAGCTAGGTTTCACACTCTCATGGCTTGTGTGTTCTCCTGTACGACAAGTTTCATTCTGCGTGAGATCCTTAAGTCCCAATTTCCAAATTTTAGTCAACAAATTGCCAAATTTATTTCCAATCAGAACCTAAAGAATGACTTTCTGATAGACTTGAAATAATTAACATTAACGAGAAGAATGATGTTCTGTAAGCTTAGTCTGTGTATCAAAAAGGGGCTTAATTGATGCTTTTTTTATATTACACTTGGAATCGTGTATCCAGTGCAGTAACTGGAGAATGCCGCGTCTGGTCGGGTTTAAACTTGAAATATTATACAGTCTTTTAGAGATTTCTGTCAAGAGGAGACTTTTTAAAGCTATTTTGAAAAAAAAAAATACTATTCTAGCCCACAAATAAATCTATTAAGCAGAAATATTGACAAGTTTCTTATATCACAATAAACAACTGCCATGAATATTTTTTTCTACAGTTCCTTTTATTCCTTAAAGATATCAAAATATAAAAAAAAAAAAAAAATATATGAAATAAAAAATTACAAGAATTTAAAAGCAAGAGCAACCCTTTCCCCTGGTACAAATATAATTTTATTTTTTAAAGAGGTGTGGCGCTAAGCCAGGGGAAGGTCTCGGTCAGATGACCTGAGACAAGCGTCAGGAAATCCTTATCCTGTTTCCTGACTAATCTGAACCATTTTCGTAACACTAAAAAAAATTGTTTTTGAGGAGTATCTTTCGTTTTACATTTTACAACTGTCTAGGAAGCACTTGTTAAGTATTACCTATAGTACCACCCGCATATAAGAGGTATTACTTAGTGCCACTCACATATACGAAGTATTACCTAGTGCCACTCACATATACGAAGTATTACTTAGTGCCACTCACATATACGAAGTATTACCTAGTGCCACTCACATATACGAAGTATTACCTAGTGCCACTCACATAGCAATGATGATAGCAATGATGTGCAACCCTCTACTAAGCAGCAAGAGGCCAAGACAGGAATATGATGGAAATATCAGAGCAATGGTGAATACAACTATTGATGTAGCCAGAAACTCCCACATTGGCAGAGTAAAGCTACTACTCATTGAGAATTTGAACCACTAGGAAGTTAAACAGGAGAACTTACGTAGAGCCACATAGAATAAAAACATGGTGGACGAATACAATAGAATAGAAACATGTTGGGGATACAACCAAAGAGAGGAGAGGATGAACCTCCAAAGCTGCACCTGTATTTACCCTGAGTAGTTACGATGTAGAGGATATTTCATATGAAAGGCACCTCTGTACCAGTGATCACACGGACCTGAGTTTTTGTGAGGAATGAAACCCAAGGATGAGGTGGTTATCTCAAGTTCCTTTATGAACAATATAGATAAAAGAATATGAATTCAATTCATAATCAAAGATGAGGATATAAATTCAGAGAAAAATGAAACTTTATTGATAATAATAAATGGAAAGATATGAAATTAAATAATCTGACTGAATCAAAATTGAAAAAAATTAAAATTACAATGACCAAAAGCTAACAATGGATGACTTGCTCTTATCTTGGAGGCTCCGTCGATCATCTGTAGGATACGGACCAAGACTTAGATGTTTCGGTCAGATTTCCTTATACTACTGAGGTGATGATGACACTAGAGTCGACTAGAAAGACCGTATCGTAAAAGAACCCTGGTCAATACAGATGTTCATAAGATTTTCCTACAGCCAACTAGGTAAAGTGGAGACCAGTAGGGTCGGCCAGAACATCCAAATTGTAACTCAACCACACGATTGGGTAGGAATCTGGTCGAAAAACACTCACATATACAGATAGCCTTATGATGAAGACAGCTTCTCGTGATCAAATTGGAGAGACCAAATTTCAATCCTACGGAGTGAGAAAAATAGAGGTTACAAAAGGACACATTGGTTATGGCACAGAGACACATAAGTAGCCAGATTAAACCTGAGCCAATGCAGGTAACTTAATACGATGATCAATCCCGAGGACTATTTGCCGGGAGGAGAGTCAGGAGTAAAGTGACAACTGGCTTACCCTGTCTCTTACGTAAACTCCTATAGTTTTTTCCCGGGATGTTAGGACGTGGCTGATTGTTACAAACCCCGAGTAGTTTTATCGATAACTACTCGTTTATCCATAACATTTGTATTAGCTGCTCTTCTCCCTCACAGTTTTGAATTCCCTTTGGAAGTAACACTAGAGAGTGAACTAGCACACGAAGAAGGTGAGAAGCCAAACTTCTAAAGAAAGGACAACACAGGCATGAAGAAGTTCCTATATGATGTGCATTAGAACAGATAACTAGAGGGAAAGACAGTGAATGAGATGATTGAGTATGCTGCCACAAAGTGCAGTTAGGCAGAGAAATTTGTACCAGAGTGAGCCCATGGTTTAGCCAGAGGTGCAGAGAGGCAAAGACTCAGGAAAACAGTTGAACTGAAGAACCAGAAATGAATATGTACTGATAAGAGGAATGTTCAACGGCAATTTGAGAATGGCCCAATCCAACCCAAAGTTGTTTTTTAGATTCATCAGGAAGAAGACACCAGTCAAAGGCCAGGTAATCAGGCTGAAAATGGAAGACGGGGAATTCAAAATGAATGAACAGGGAATCTGCAAAGAGCTCGGCATGAGATTTATGGAGACAATCTCGGAGGAGATCAGAAGGATACAAGTGAACCAAGGCACTGGATTACGTGCAACCAACAGGGGAGGAAAGGACGCAAGTGCATTAATGTGACATTTTTATTGTGGCAACGTTTAGCTCTCCAGGAGCTTTGTCAAGCCGTTACACGGCTTGACAAAGCTCCTGGAGAGCGAAATGTTGCCACAATAAAAATGTTATATTAGTTGCACTTGTGTCCTTTTACTTTACATATTGTCGGTAATTCTACCAACATTATTACAACTGGGGAGGAGTTGAAGAAGCTGGTATGTGAGATACATCAAAGGTTGTGGGACAAGACATTATTTTCCGTGGGTCCTGAGAGAGGGACCAGAGGTAATGTGTGTGCTGCTAGTAGAATTACGAGAAGTGTGGAAATCAGCATAAATAGTTCCAATTTTAAGAAAACAGAGAGCAAGCGTTAAATTACTGACCAGTGTAACTGACAAGTATAGTTTGCAAAATAATGGAAATTATCAAGAGCTAAGTGGTGCAGCACCTGTATAATGGAGTGCGACAATGCATGATAACCATAACGGCTTCAAGGATGTCACAAATTCAAATTCAAATTCAAAGTTTATTCTCTATAAGGATTACAATGCTGAGTTTACAGAATTTGGTTATTGTGTGGTTTACATGTAGTAAAATAATGATTACAGAGTGTACCACTAGAACACCTAGCATGGCTAGGCATTTCGGGCAGACTTAGTTTAATTCTTAATTTTAAAATATTACAAATTATGAGGTAAGTTGGTATTATGACTAAGTGGCTAAATACTAGTTTGTGAGTTTAGCAATGTGAATGCTTTTATTTTGGCACAGTACATAGTTTCAGTATTGGAGTATTATAGGATTCATTATTTTAAGATTGAGATTAATATTTCTGTTTATGGTCAAATGGGTGTGTGAGTGTAAGTGTGAACCACCAGGTGGTATTCGTGTAGTTAGTTGACAGGGTGTATCAGGGAGATAAGATGTTTTCTAATGGTAGTTTCGAAGGTGATGAATGTGTCTGCAGTTCTAGAGTTCTCAGGTAGAGTGTACCAGATTTTAGGGCCTTTGACATACATTGAATTTTTGTAAAGGTTTAGTCGGACACGGGGAATGTCGATCCCCAAGTGCAAATAGCATAGGTGAGGTATGGATAAATAAGTGAGTGGTATAGTGTGAGAAGGGCATTTTGCGGCATGTAGTATCGTATCTTGGAGAGGATCCCAACTGTTTTGGATACTTTTTTGGTTATGTGTTGGATATGGGTGCTGAAATTCAGGTTGTCAAGGTATAGGCCTAGGAATCTGCCCTCATTATGTCTGGTAATTAGAGTGTTGTCGATCTTAATGTTAATTTGTGCATCTCCTGCTCTGCTACCAAACATATTGAAAGTTTTGTCAGTGTTAAGCGTAAGTTTATTGGCTGTCATCCAAGTCGATATTTTGATCAGCTCCTCATTAACAATGGTGTTGAGGGTGGCAAGATTACGGTGAGAGATGACATAAGTCGTGTCGTCAGCAAAGAGAATGGGTTTCAGGTGTTGAGATACGTTTGGAAGATCACTGATGTACATGAGGAAGAGCAGGGGACCAAGGACACTTCCCTGCGGAACTCCAGTATCAAGTGGCCGTGTTGTTGATGCTGTGTCTTTAATGGTGACATACTGATACCTATTATTAAGGTAAGATTTGAAATATGCAAGCGCATGGCCTCTTATACCATAATGGTCAAGTTTGTGGAGTAGGATGCCGTGGTCTACTGTGTCAAAAGCTTTTCTTAGGTCAATAAAAATTCCTAGTGGATATTCCTTATTTTCCAATGCTGTGTAAAGCAGATCTAGCATTTTTGATGATTGCATCGTTAGTGCTTACTGCATATTTCGGCGATTTGGAGCATTTAGAACACTTTTCAGACAAACCTCATTTTTCCTGAATCAAAATTGGCAGGGGTTGAGTATGTTTTGTGCCGTTATAAATGAATATAGTCTCCTGTGCACGAGTTTCTCAAAGATTTTGGATAGCAATGGTAAGTTTGATATTGGCCTATAGTTGTTTAAGTCTGTAGGGTCACCACCTTTATGTATTGGTGTAACCCTTGCCATCTTGAGTAGTTTCGGGAAGGTGCTAGTTTCTAGTGACTTGTTAAAAAGTAATGAAATAGCATGTGAAAGGACATGGGCTGCTCGCTTGTACAGTAATGGTGGGACATGAGACAGATTCCATAAGTTATTTTAAGTGACTTTATAATCTCGGTGACTTCCGTGGGCTCAGTTGGTGCAAGATAGAAGGAATTTGGGAAATTCCCATCTAGGTAGTCCCCGGCACGGGCATTGGTATGTGGGATTTTATTGGCGAGATTAGATCCTATGGTTGAGAAGAAGTCGTTTATCTTGTTAGCTGTGTCAGTGGGATGTAGTGGTGTTTCATTAGGTTTAGTTAGGACAATATTCTTTTTTTTTCATTTTGTGGGTCCCTAGAATCTGAGAGAGTGTTTTCCAGGTCTTTTTTATATCTCCTCTAGTGTCTGTGAATCTACTGGAGTAGTATAGTTGTTTGGCTTTCTTTATTACTTTGGTGAGAACTGATGAACAGTGTTTAAGAATATCTTTGTGTACTAAGCCCTGTCTATATTGCTTTTCATATTGGTGTTTCTTGTCAATGCATTTCAGAATGGTGCTGGTTAGCCATGGGCAACCAAGCCGTTTGTTTGTGATCTGTTTCGTTTTTATAGGACAATGTTTGTTGTATAGTCTAAGTAATTTGTTAAGAAAAATGTCTGT